AGTGTTAAACATTAGGTTGCGGTGTGCAAATTGGTGCTCGTTCACAGGTAACTTTAGGCTTTGCTGCAGGGAGTCTCGCCAGGCTTTTGAACATTATATGCATATACATCTGCAGGGAATTTAATTGCAAACACAATGATACCAAAACGAACGACGTAGCACATGAATTAAGGTGAGAAAACTGAAACGAGTATACACATTTAAGCATCACAGCAGGCTCGCTCGCACCATTGGCCTCATGACGTCAAAGTCTGCGGTGCGTGCGTGGCGCCAGCAATAGTGTTAAGCACAAGGCGAAGCTGGAAAAAGTTCAGAGGTATGCCACTAGGCTAGTTCCAGAACTAAGAGGAATGAGTTACGAGGAAAGGCTGAGTGAACTGCACCTCACGTCTCTGGAAGACAGAAGAGCTCGGGGAGACATGATCACCACATACAAAAATTTCAGAGGAATTGACAGGGTAGACAAGAATGGATTATTTAACACAGGTGGTACACACAAGGGGACACAGGTAGAAGCTGAGTATCTAATTGAGCCATATTAGAAATAACTTTTTCAGTATCATAGTAGTTAATAAATGTACCTGCAACATTCCACATCACTAGGAAGTGATGTGGTGAAGGCTGACTCCATACACAGTTTCAAATGTAGATATGATGGAGCTCGAGAAGCTCAGGAATCTCTACACCAGTAGATTGACGACTGAGAGGCGGGACCAAAGAGCCAAAGCTCAACCCCCGCAAGCACAACTAGATGAGTACTCCCCTTCAGGAGGCAGAGAAGGCATTTTACTCAGCGCCCCCCCCCCCCCCCTTAGGTGTTGACAGGCTGTTAGATTCAGAGTGGTCCCTTTCCTTTTTGTCCTCCTCCCCTTTCATGACCCTCCTCTTTCCAGAGGATGCAATGTCCCAAGTTCTGTCTGTGGCAGCCTTCTATTGTCGTTCTATTGACTAACTGTTACTTTCTTGGGATTCTGTCCCTGTTCAGAGAGAGCCTGATAGGGTTGGGACCTCACCTGCTGTTGGTCAAGATTAGTATCTTGGAAAGTCAAGACTCCAATGCCACTGCACTTCCTGTTGCAAATCCCTTTTCTACTAAATGTTGCAACTTTTGATGCACACATCGAAAGGGTATGCACCAACCCTTTCGTAATTTGCCCCTTTGATGCAGCTGTAGGGTGTAACTGGCTAGTTATGCCAGCTCCTGGTCCCATGATCTCTTAGCCAGTCAGCATGCGGTCTACCCTTGTGCCCATGATGTTTGCAAGTATGCTGCATTGGCCAGTCTTTTCCAACATGTCCTGGGCTGATATTCTGGCTCAGCGGTTTTGGCGTTCTAAAAGGGTTCCGATGGCATAGTACAGAGGAACCTCAGGTAACAAGCAACCCCATCTAGGAGCATTTCAGGTAACAAGCGAGCCACCAGCAGAAAATTTGTCTCGATTGACGAGCTTCTGCTCGGTTAACAAGAAAACCACGTGGTGCTTCCTAGCATTCCCACTAGTTCTCAGACGCCTCCAACAAGTGTTGTTGTTTCGCAAGACGAGCATTTCACATGACGAGCTCGGTGCCGGAAAGGATTAAATTCGTTAACTGAGGCACCACTGTATATGGTTAATGTTCTTGGTCCTAGTTGGTTATGTGTTAAAATGGGCCGTGTCTTCTAGCCCAAATTCTCGTCTTTGACCTAGTGCATGTCATCTCTCATCCTCCCTCATAAGTCCTATTTTTGTTCTCTGTGGTTAGTTAGCTTCAGGGAGTCACTGGGGGGCTTCTCCCAGAAACCCAGCATTAAATGCAATGAAACATGTGGGGCACTACATGTGGGACACAACAACCTGCGCCACAACTACCAAATTAATAACATTACATTACAGCAGATTGATGAGGAAATGGACCTTGTAGTCAAAATCCACCATTCAATGAAAGTTGCACAGCAGGTAGAAACGGAAGTTAAAAAATCTAACCAAACACTTGGAATAATCAAGCATACCTTCAATTTCAAGGAAAAGAAGGTAGTGATTCAAATGTATAAATCTCTGGTGCACCCCTGTTCGTATTACTATATCCAAGCATGGAGACCTTACCTTCAGAAGGAAAAAAGCTGCTCTGGAGAAACTGCAACACCAGGCAACAAAAGTCATTCCAGAGCCAACTCATCTCTATCAGGAATGCTTGAAGCCACAGGACTAACAACACTGCAAACTATGCATGACATCTTATTGATGTCATGCTTGGTTGACATCATCTTATTGTTGTATTCACCTAGTTGTGCTTGCGGGGATTGAGCTCTGCTCTTTCGGCCCGCCTCTCAACTGTCAATCAACTGTTTCTACTACAGTGGAACCTCTATTAACGAGTTTAATCCGTTCTGGCACCGAGCTCGTTACCTGGAAAACTTGTCTTTGGAAACAAATTTCCCCATTTAAAATAAAGGAAATAAATTTAATCCGTTCCACTCCCAAAAACATCCATACTTGTATGACTTTTTTTTATGTAAAAAAAATATATTTTTATATTGCACATGTAAATATAAATGTTTTGTTGTAGTGTTTTAATATTTACTTTACCTTATGAAGAGTAGTTGCTGGCTAGAGGGAGACGATGGGGAGGTGGGAAGGATGAGAGGGGTTATGGTGTGGAAGGAGAATCCACCTCTGAGTCAGGCGGACTCTCTCTTCTTGGGAATTTCACCCAAATTTCATTTCAAATGTCACACTAGGATGCATTAGACCAGCACCAAATAAAAAACTACGTTGATTACACTCATTGTGTCAACAATATAATAGTCTTACCACGAAGATACAATATAATGCCGTTTTCTCAAATAGGCAATGTGGTTATTAAAGAAAATGGAAATTTCATGGCAAACATGTATACAATCCCCAAGCCGATCGGATAAGAATTGAATTTTATAGAAATATTTGCTCAAATGACGCTTGAGCGCGGTGTTTGGGTGCATTCAAGAGAAAAAAGTGTTACGTTCAAGCGACATATACCTGCGAAAGTGATAACACTTTCATAAAGTGTTATCACAAAGTGATAAATTAATTAAACATTTTCACACATCGGGTTGTCACTGCTTTATCAGGGCAGCTTTTCCAAGAATGCGTTCACCTTTTCAAACATTCCAAACACTTCCCTGATCTCAGTGGAAGAGGCAGCATCCTCCCTTACCTCCTCATTCCCTTACTAATGGTGTAAATTGTTGATGAGGACCTGCCATACTTCCTTGTGAGATCAATCACACAGACACCACACTCATGCTTTGCTATAATTTCCTTCTTTAAATCCACAGTAATTGTGTCTTTCTTCCTCTTGACAACACTATCTTTAGCAAGCAGCTTCTTTGGAGACATCGTGTTACAAATTGTAGTCGCAAAACCACTAAAAACCCAAAGAAAAGCTCAAATAAATCCAGAGGGATGCTTGTCGTGTGAGATACAACAACAACAACACTGGCGTCGGAGGCGTCCGAGAATTTGCGAGAACCCGCGAGACACTAGGAAGCACCATGTGGTTTCACTCGTTAATAGAGGCGAGCTCGTCAATAGAGACAAATTTGCTGCGAGTGGCTTGCTCGTTACTGGAAAAACTCGTTAATAGAGCCACTCGTTAATAGAGGTTCCACTGTACTACTATTTTTTTTCCACACCACACACACACACACACACACACACACACACACACACACATCCCAGGAAGCAGCCCGTGACAACTGGCTAACTCCCAGGTACCTATTTACTGCTAGGTAACAGGGGCATAGGGTGAAAGAAACTCTGCCCATCATTTCTCGCCAGCGCCCGGGATCGAACCCGGGACCACAGGATCACGTGTCCAGCGTGCTGTCTGCTCGGCCACCATGTCAACAAGCCACAATGTAGGACCGGGAACAAGAGATGCTTTTTCATCCACAGGGTTATTAACCCATGTAACTGCCTTCAAGCCATTAAAGCCAAAACTCTGTTGGGATTTAAAGTACAACTGGAATGGATTATCGAGGCAAATAGGGGAACCTTCGACAAGCCACCGGCTTCCTGTCTTCATCGAGGCCACTAGTGTTAGTGGCTTTCAAGAAAACTCAGGTAAACGCCTCTTTCTGGAGGAGTCCCAGTCAGACAAAACTCATACATCTGATGTGATCCATTTGATCCTCATATATCTGATATCTGACAAAACTCATATCTGATGTGATCCTCAGTGAGATAAATACAGGGAGCCACTGGGGCTCATTCAAAAAAGGTCGTTTTATTAGATCCAACACTGGATATTGGGCTAACAGGCAACAGTTGTTCTCTGGATGATAACCACTGTCTTTCAGTTAAGGACTGGATTGCCAAACTTTGGAAATTTTATAAACCTGGACAAAGCTCTCATACTTGTCAGTACAGCCTGCAGGCTATGATTTCATGTATACCAGTACAGCCTATGGACAATGATCCAACATATGCCAGTACACCTTGCCAGCAATGATCTCATGTGTGCTAGTACAGCCTGTGGGCAATGTTTTCAGGTTTGCCAGCACAGATTCTTTTCAATGGTTCCACATATACTGTAATTGGATCAGCATTTATTCTTACACATTTTCCTTATAAATTGTGCTTTCTTAGCACTCACACAGTATAAGGGGTCTAGCTGGCAGAAAATTATTACAATATCCACATATCCATTGAAGAATATCTTCTTTGATATGGACTCTATAGTACTAGTCATTCATCATACCAAGACCAAACTGAGAACAGCATTCATGTATTCAGCTCTCTACTGTGAAGCTCCACAGATACAATTCCCAGCAGTGAGAGCATTAACGAAAGGCTAACATTCCTCAAACAATGCCTTCATGACTGCAACAAAACCAAGCCAGCCTGTCTGGAGTAACATTACAAAATATTCATAAGACATACAAGAACACTGCTCAGTAATAAATTAGTTAGTGTTACCCAGGATTACACAGTTCAAAGAATGCAATATGAACTTAACATACAGTAGGTAATGTCACTCACCACACTGATGAGAGCATTGAGCAGCGAGAGTGAACCACCAAGCAGGAGGGAGGCAGCGGCTGTGAGCGCAGACATAGCCAAGCTCAGGTTGCCCAGGAGAATGGACCACACTGACTCCAGCACGCTCACAACCGTCCCCAAGTTGTCACGGATCACTTCACTTACAAAAGTGAAGCTCACCACACCTGTGAAAAAAAAATGCATATAAATATAACCTATCAAGGTTAAGTGTTCTGTACAGTACTACTTTCAACTCTTAACTGGAAATAAGGCACAGATTAAAAGTATGTTACTGAGCTGTATCATAAGTCAACAAGGCGTGGTGCTGCATTGTATGAGTATTGACAATTGACAAGAGGCATCACTCTTGAACACAATGATAAGTAAAGGAAGCCAGCACATCATGATATCCCTGGGAATTTTCAAGCATCTCTGAAGAATCATAATTTTCTGTGCATGTTACAAAGAAAATTATTAAATCCAGGCAAATAATAAATTACTGTGTGTGCTGAAATGCTAAATCGAGTGTCACCTATCTCCCTGAAGCTCATCGAACTGATGAACCCCGGCTGCTCCCAAACATGAGGTATTTGAAGACTTTAACCCATTTTAAGGCAACACCAATATCGTGCCTCCACAAAGCGAGGACAGGAGGACATTAGTACAATATATTAATCCGCTAAGAACTGCTCAAGAAGTCAAACAGTGACTCAAAACTTTCAACAACAACAAGAAAAGTATGAAAAAGTTAAAAAACACAAACAAACATTGGAGTAGGCAACTACACCTGACCAAACTCTCCTGATAACCACCAGGTAGCAGCTCAGTTCACTCAGGATCCTGCTACTGAACCTCAAACCCAACCCCAAACTCCATGGGAAAGAAGGGCAGAAAGAACAGAAATGAGTAGCTGCATAAGTGAAGCACAGTAAACGGTATTTTATAACACTCAAAACACAATTTTTGTGCTAGCACCCTTAGTAGCAATGCTAAACTTTCTTATAAGGGTGGAAACCAACAATAGACAGCAGCCCTAAATGCAACAAGGCTGACCTTATTAGATAGAAGGGAGGTTATATTGAGGTTATATTGAGATGATTTCGGGGCTTTAGTGTCCCCGCGGCCCGGTCCTCGACCAGGCCTCCACCCCCAGGAAGCAGCCCGTGACAGCTGACTAACACCCAGGTACCTATTTTACTGCTAGGTAACAGGGGCATAGGGTGAAAGAAACTCTGCCCACTGTTTCTCGCCGGCGCCCGGGATCGAACCCGGGACCACAGGATCACAAGTCCAGTGTGCTGTCCGCTCGGCCGACCGGCTCCCTGGCTCCAGAAGACTAACCCTGGCACTCCAGATAAAACAAAACCCATAGAGACCAAGCAGTTGCAACACTAAAACTCGGGTAACAAAAAAGCAGTGTATAGTACAGTAATTTATAATAACAATTCATTGAGACGGGGGACAGCAGCCAGGGTGTATTTATACATTTTAGGCTTATATTGAGGTCCCCCACAAGATCTAATTACTGAACCCCCACCTGGACGCAACCACAGAACAAGCTAACAAACTCATGGGTACCTACTTACTGTTGGGTGAATAGGAGCATTAGGTGATAGGAAATGCACCCACTCCTTTATGTTCTGCCTGGGATTTGAACCTGGAATTCTTGATTGTGAATCGAGAACGAACCCGACTGTAAAACAGGACCCTATGAGCAACCAAATAACTAGTTGTTCCAAGCAGCCAGCCAACGAGTAATGACAGAACTCAGATATATCTCTGACACAGCACCCTAGGAAAGAACAACCCACGTCTGGCAAGGACAGTGTCTGAGCACTATATCTAAAATGATGGGTAGAGCCTGAGAGAATATACAAAGGGGCTCCACTTGAAACTCGAACAAACTTGTAAATTATGAGTGAAGGGAAACATGACAAATGGCCCCCAGCAAATTCAGGCAAACGTGCCAGGACAGGCATGATACCACCAGATGCAGTGGGGACACAGCAGGGAAGGAGTGTTTGCTATGGACATCGACCAAATGAGAACATATCGAGAACTGGAGAGGCCATTATCGGAACGTTAAAGACTTTGTATGCCACCCAGAGTGAGTCACAGCAAACATGTCACTAGACCACAAGGAATGGAAGATAGTGTGGAGAAGAGGCATAGATGACCGAGCCAAGAAACCAAGACGCTGAATAAAAAAGGAGAAAAAAAAAAAAGAGTACCAAAGACTCGGAGTAACAAGGTGGAAGGCCCCCCAGGCAACCTGGACCCAAGCTGGCCAGATGGTATTCAAAATGGCCATCCACCATGTCTGTGAAGAAGTAGATTTTTCTCAATCACCTTTCACTAGTAGTAGCATTATAGTTTATAAATGCATCCAATGTTGAATGGAATACCACTGTCTGGTGGATCCCTTTGTATCTCCTTGAGCTACCCACCTGCAACATTCTGTGCCTAGAAACCACACCAGGTTCTAGTGACTCAGGAGTGCCTACCAGCGGCCATGATCACGCCCACACAGAGGAGGCCCAGAGGATTGGAAAAACAAGATCACCATATCAAAACCCACTAGAACCCACTTCCCCCAACCACTATGGGAAGAAGGGAAGGACGGGGAATGGTGAGATACACAAGAACAAAAAGAGGCATTTCATTTCATGCAACAGTATATTTCTGAGGCAGTGACCTTTATATTTCTCTGAAGAAAACATGCCCTGAGCTCCCTAGAGACACTGACCATCTACCAAGATGCCAAAACCCCATTAGATTACCAAAATCCACAAGACTGAATATCTATCAAAGGCACATTAGGAACGATGGCAGATGTCATGAGTTGATGAGTAAGCAGCAGGCTGGCTAAACTTGACCACCCTATGACCTCTTCTGGGACAACCGGGCCCCCTGGAACAAGGGACCAAGAACACCAGAATAGCATCTGAAGCATCCACACGAGTGCCTATGGTGGCAGGCAGATATCAGCACGCTGCTGCAACCAGACAGAGAACACGAAGATTCCTTAGCTGAAGCAACGATGCCCCAATGGCCCATCAAGGTCCTTCATGTTCTCCTCATGCTTCCTCCAGTCCCCTCATATACTCCCTCACACACAACTCAACACCTCATGCCTCCTTCAGTTCCCTCATATACTCCCTCACACTCAACACCTTATGCCTCCTCCAGCTCCCTCACACACAACTCAACACCTCATGCCTCCTTCAGTTCCCTCATATACTCCCTCACACTCAACACCTTATGCCTCCTCCAGCTCCCTCACACACTACTCAACACCTCATGCCTCCTCCAGTCCCCTTATACTCCCTCACACACTACTAAACACCTCATGCCTCCACCAGCTCCCTCATATACCCCCCTGAACACTAAACATTTTCCCTCTTAGATCTTTGGGTCATCTTCCCATCATGAAAACAGTTGCAACTATTTTTCTAAGCAGTCATTAACATACTGTACTTAACTCAAATATATGAAATAAACATTTATTAATCAAAGATTAGAACAAAACTCAAAACTGAATTCAGTTCTATAATTTTATACAGAAGTTATAAAATTAAAAACCAAAAATTATAAATTAGTTATCAAACATCATCTAAAATACAAAACAATCGGGCAGAAATTGCCACGCTACACAGTTCCTGGACTTCATTAAAAGATATAACATATAGCACAAAAACAAAATTTGCACAAGTAATAAAAGGCACTTTAGAGGTTAACACGATTCACAGAGCAATATGCCGGAAATGCTCTGTGTATTTGTGACTTTAGGTAGCATACCTACCTACCGCCCATGAATTCAACTATTTGCCTATATATATGCATGTATATATTTCTGTCTAAATAAAATGTTGATGTTCATGTTCATATGTGCAGCAGATGGACAAGAAGCAAGATGTTATGCAGAGAATAGAGTTTGAACAACTAACCTGCAGCAGCAGCATCAACTACTTCCTCTCCCTCTGCTGAGAAGGGGAGCGTGTGAGAGAGAGACAACTTGTAAATATGTATTACAGGTTGTAAGCTTGCTTTCATCTTACAGAATGATTTGCAAGCTTATGACTTAAGTTTGGTCACAATACTAGCAGTAAATATATTAAACTTGACTGTGTGATGCTTTGTAGTCAATTTTCTAACTCCCAATCATATAAATGTTGCATGTACTGGTATTTAAATAATGCATGTTGCTAAACTTCTTTAATCCATCATCATTACCGTGATTCCTATTTATTCAAGATAAGACCAATGGTCCTTTGCTTTTGATGGAAAGAAAGACCGTAAGCCCAAATTCCTTCCCATTCATTTTAGGAATCAGCAAGACACATTGCTATGGTCTCTGCTTGATCAGTGTAATTATATGAAACATCTTAATATATATAAATTGCACATAAATTGACTGATAAAATTGCTGCAACCATATAACAAGGCAGAGGTGGGCAATATACAATAAAAGTAATATCACTATTTTACACTTTATAGATGATAAATACCATTACATTTAAAATACTTTTATTATTAATATTAATTTTAAATGTAGTTATACATACCCTGGGCAGGACATTGAGAAAAGAGATATTAAGAATATTAATCCGGTTAGAATTAAGAATATTAGTCCGGTTAGCGCGAAAGTGTTAACACTTTCGCACTAACCGGACTCACCGAGGAGTCCTATTTCGCCTAACGCTACCACATAGTGGACATAAAGTTATGTCCTCTTTTAAAATATTTGTATAAAATTCAATTTTTATCCGATTTACTTTGGGTTTGTTTCAAACTGCGCGCCATGAGGCTCTCTTTCTCACCACTAGGCTGCATGGTACAATAAGTTCATGAAAGGTGTGGACCACTTCGATCAAATGGTATTATGTCCCAAACGGGTTGCAGGTGGGTGACTTTAGCCGTTTATACTGGTAATGCTTCCCCCATATCATGTATTATATGCATATGTCTGTTTAGGGAATTTTATTCCAATCAATATACAACCAAAAATAACTGTGTGCAACAAGTATAAACTTGACAAACATAACAAAAGTAAAAACATTTCGTGTGTGTTTGACACTCACTGATATGTTCCAGCGTTGTTTTATATTTGGCGCTATTCTATCTTACGCTTTGTTGATCTTTTTTACCTATGGGCTCATAGAACATTCTATTGCGAACACATTGA